GGCTGCCCCCCCTGCCGTGGGGGGATCGCTTTAAAGCACCCACCGCACTTAGGGCCTCGGGCTGGGACCCGGTGGTGAGGGTGGGCCCGGGTCCCCCACTCCCCACACCCCGACCTCAGCGCAGGTCTTCAAAGCTGTAATAGCCAGACACACTACCCAACCTCCCCCCCCGCGCCGAGAGGGTGCGAGAGGAAGGGATCGAGACTAGAGGGACGGCTCAAGAGCCCCGGCCGGGCCCCGGCCCCGGCCGGGGGCCGCACGGGAAGGTACCGGACTGGGTCTGCTGAGCCCCCTCGGCCCCATACAGGGCGAGGGGTGATCGCACCCGGTCCCGGGCTCACTTACGGACCCCGGATATTGGGACAACTGAGCTCTCAAGGGCAGTGGGTTCGCGGAACCCCACCCCACTCTGCCGGCCCCGGCCCGGGGCGCGGGCGGGAGCAGCGGGGTGTGGCGCTCGCACCCTTAAAACCCGTCACAGGTGGGTTCTCTGCATCTTGGGGTCTTTAAACCATCGTTTGAGGACTTCAATATCTGAGATATAGGTGAGAGGATTATTCTAGCAGTGGGTGGGTGAGATTCTGTGGCCTGCATGGTGCAGGAGGTCAGACTAGATAATCATAATGGTTCCTTATGACCTTAAGGTCTATGAGTCTATGAGGCATAAGGGAGCAGTCGACAAAGGCTTCTCTTGTTGACCAATCTGTGTCTAGAATGCCGCACTATGACAGATCAGCTGACTGTAGGCACAGTGCGGTGGCCATTTTTATTTTAATGAAGTGGGGATTATTTAAATCCCCATTTCATTGACTATGTTGGGTAGACTAGTTTTACATGGCTCCGTCGATGGAGCCATGTAGTCTAGACATAACCTAAGGTGCCACAGGACTACTTGTTAAGGTTACAGACTCACACGGCTACCCCTCTGAGACTTATCAGATATGACATCTCTAAATCCCTGCCTCACCGCAAGTATAGCATAACAGGACAAATTACGTGTTGCAGTATCTCACTAGAGATAAGTCATTGGAGAGTCCTCCATACCCTCACTAGAGCCGTATGTGGCTGAGCACACGATTGCCTCCACTATCCATTCTAACCAGTGTCTATAAATGCACATAACAACAACCAGAGATCACGACTGAGCATCACACATGTTTGTGAAGCTTAGGGCTCCTAGCAAAGACCAGAACCATGGGTATGTCTGAAACAAACACCGTGACTGATACAAGTGCCTTTTAGTAGATTAGATTGAAATAGCAAAATCTAATATACATTGAAGAGTAGGTTGTTTCAAATAGCTTTAATGGCTGCATCAGGTCAGAGGGAGTTTGCTCTTTGCTGAAGAATGATTCCAGTTATGGCAACAGGGTATTGAAGGGAGACATGACAAGTAAACTTTCTCTTGTCACCTCATTGCCTGTGGTCCCATGGAACCAGCAAAATGAACATCCAAAGCTCTAGTAAGTGGGGCAGGAGACATGAAAGTTCCACTGTGTTCAGAAGAGACTAAACTCCAGAGGCAACAGTGAAAGTTGTGAGAAGGACATGAGCAAATAGCCAGTCCTCTCTCCACGGGTTAAACTGTTTTGGGCAGCCAGTGAGGTCTGTGTTGGATTTGTATGTTTTTAGGTGCACTGGCTCCTAAGAGAAGGAACCACATCTTTCTATGAGATTCTTAGAGGACTGTGTTTACTGTCGGCCCTCAGCAAATAATAAATGAGTAGATTCCACCATTAGGAAATTTCCCCTGATAGCCTGCATGTTGATTCTAGAAGTAGGCATGAGCAACAGCTAACTTCGGAATCAGATGGTTAGTATCGTATAAACACCTAGGTAAATAAAGAGAAGTTTGGACTGATATTCAGATCCATATTTTTTCCAAAGTTTAGAGCTTAGGTTTTGCTCTGGGCCCATCCTTGTTTTGTTCCTGACAGAAGCTTTGGCCTCTAACAGGTACCATATGTCTTTCACTTTGTAAGCTGTGTGTTTCCACTCCTTTTCTTCACTCAGCTTGCAATGTGACTCTAAATTGGTCAGTTTCTGATTAAAATCTGTTTTACTTTCCTTTTCTTATGCATTAGCTCAACAATGTGGTGTTTCTAGCTCTGCCATAATGTTTTTAATAGCAATAATAAACTAAACTCTTTATTTTAATTTCATTGTACACACTTCTCTGTATATTAGATGTTGTATTTTCAGAAAGAGTCAATATCTGAGTGTCAGGTGTGCATGAGAGCAGTAGGAACACAAAACATCACTTATTACTGCCGTGCTGTGCTGCTTCTAGAGTAGCACAATTAATTGAATATTGGCTGTCCAGATAAGAGAGGTGCTTAGACATAGCAGGAGGGAAGGTAACTACTTACGTTTACATACAGAAGTTTTCGTGGTCCAGTGAATGAGCCCAGAATCATTTTTACAGACAATAAGATCAGACTCTCCAACTATCCTTTGATAGCCAGGTTTGCACACATATCGTGCCTTGCTGCGCACCATGACCTTGTCAATGGTAATCTCAGCAAACTTAATGTAGTCTGGGGCACGGCACTTCCCTGCAAAGAGAAAGCAGGTCTGTTAGTACATGGCTGGAGGGCTTTGAATCACTTTAATTTTAGACAGCCTGGGAGCAATGATGTCCATATGGTTATGTCATTAGAGTAGTTCCACTTCTGCAAATGGGGGAGTACATGTTTGAATGCCTCTCTCATTCCAGTGCATTGTTCCAAGATCTGCTATCCCTGCGTAGACTAATGACCTGAGGCCTGATCTTTTTGACATGATGTAAATCAGGAGCACCATACAAAGTAATGGAATTATAAAGAAGGAAAATGTGGGTGAAGAGGGATTTAAAAGGATTAACTTCAGTGACCATGGGAGATGAAATCCCAGACCAGATAGAAAGCAGCCCTGGACTAATCCGGTCCAAGATGCCAATAAAACGGGGCTTTCTTTTAGAGAATTACATCTTCAGGTTACAAGAAATGATGGTAAAACTCCTGGTCGGATGGATAATGAGACCCAGAATATCTGTTTCGGGTTAGTGAGGGCTTAACTCACCAGGTAGCTCCACTAGATCAGGTTCTATCAACCATGAGTTTCAATACAAAATTTTCAGAGGTGTCAATGAGTCTCAGGGCATAGCTCCCCACTCCAGGCCTTAGGATCTGGTACATGGGTTGCACCACTACTCAGTTTGGCTCAGCCCCCCACTCATCATGATCCTGGGAGGCCAGCTGGGCCAAACTGAGGCATGTGCCAGGATGCCACACAACTCATACATATTTAGCTTAGCTAGGGGGCAGTGGCAAAGCTGAACCCCAGAGCAGGAACCCCAGTGCAGGAAGCCAAACCCAGACAACCTCAAAAATTCTGTGGGGTATGCTTATCAAGTGAGTTATTAGCAGAACATTAGTGGCATGAAAGTGGGGCTAGGGAGGTAGGTGCTGAACCTTGAGACAAATGGGAGTGGCAACTTAAAGTGCTGTTTAACCCATCCCACAAGTCCAAGGGCACATGAGGATCACAGCTGGGCATCACTGTCCAACCCAGACTACTGAGTCCAGAGACATATAAGGGGGTCAGTTTGTGAATGCTGATTAACCGGTCCTCTCAGACATGCTCTGTTAGAATGTGTGAATGTGTGCTCATCTGATTCTATGGTGGGAAGAACCCAGCTCTGGGAGAAGTAGAAAATGGGGCTCCATATGAGAACACAAGTGAGATAAGCAACGTGTTGATAGAATTATCGATCTCCTCCCCTCAGAAACGTAACCCTAATAAATGAACATACTCCACAGTAATAGACCAATCTAGTAACACAGAGAGAGCAGAGCAAGGTCAGGGAGTCCAGGAAAGCGACACCAGCCACTAGGTAGGGGGAATACACAAGACAGAAGGAGGGAATCCCCACCCACCTATATGCTTGGCCACCAGTGACCCCAACAACACTCAGTGCAATGAACCCAATCACAGTGTTGTGCTAGGTCTCCTCGCTGTCCCAAAGGTTGATAGGATGTACCACTCCCATTTTAGGGAGACACATTGAAAATCCTGCTTTTAAGAAGAGGTCTCAAGGTTCTGAGAGGTTCTTTGCTTACTGTGCTCTGCAAACTCAATTGTGCCCACTCTTCCATAAACACAGAGGAGCTCATGGCAATAGAATCAGGACTGTTTGGCTGAGTAGTAAGTATGGGAGGATTTGGGGTTTCATGGAGGAAATGGGCATCTCTTTTGGGTGCAAATTGTGTATCTTATTTCGATTTTATTTTGAAATAGGCTATTTCGGAATTTGGCATGTCTACTGTAGTTTAGCGATTATAACCCGCACCCGTGTATAACCCGCGATTTTTCTTTTTTGTGTAAAAGAACCCTTAGATTACCCACGGATGTGTATAGCCTGCGGGTCCTGCATTCATCCACTCACCACATTCACAGCACTCACCCCCAGGGCCTGTGCAGCCGCAGCAAGGCACAACCCACACTCTTCCGGGATGGGGAATGGAGAGCCCCCAGGCCTCATGAGTAAAAATAAATGAGTATACTCCTCGGACATGTATACCCTGTCTGGGGGAGCAGGGTTTGTAAAAACATGTATAACCCACAGGTTCTATATACTAATTTGTGGTACATGTCACCAGATTTTGAAATAAAGTGTTATTTCAAGCCATCCCTTATCCCTCATGCAACTAGGTTTACAGGGATGGCAAAACAGAGTATCTGTTATTTCAAAATCGTGGACTTATTCCTTGGATGTAGGGTAGCTATTTTGGGATACCTTTGGTATCCCAAAATAGCAGTGCAGTGTAGACGTATCTTTGTGCAGCAAAGTTCTGCTCCTTGGTGGCTAATCACCCTCACTGTTGAAAACTGGTGCATTATTTCCAGTTTAAATTAGTCTGGCGTTAGCTGCCAGCTACTCACTATTGCAATGCCTTTCTCCATTAAATGCAATAGCCCTTTTGTGCCCAATATGTTCTCCCCATGAATACACCATAATTAAGTCACCAGTTGCATTTGACAGAGATTGTTTATTAGGATTCAGACAGAGGGTGACATCCACTCAAGGCAGGAAAGTTGCCCTAATCTGTCCTTCAATTCAGAATCAGAATTCTAAAAAAGGAACTTCCAGGACACTTCCAACACATACCCATGAGACAGTGTGGGATGACTTGCTTGCTGACTCTTTTTTTCCCTGAAGAGTCTGGGGCTGTCAAACCAGCACTAAATTAATATAAAATGTCTTTAAACTATATAATGTCCAAACCTTAAATGCCTATATCAACAAAAAGGCCTTTGTGATTGAAAGGACAAAACTCCCTCTATTCTGGCTCTAGTGATTGGGGGATACGAAATCATTAGTTCAGAACAATTTCTTTTGATCACATAGATTGTAATGCATGATGCATAGCGAGAAGAGTTTAGCAGTCAAATAGCATTTCAAAAGTAAGTGGAGCAGAAGGGAGGAATGGGGAGGCATGGAAAACTGTCATGTCACTCAAGTCCCACCTGAGCCCCAAAATAGGCACATAAATGGCTCTTGGAACCCATCCAAACTTTTGAACATTTTGGCTTTATATTATTTTTACTTTAAAAAATATTTCTATAAATGCTTCACTTCATCAATAGAATTATTAGCAGCACCAGTTTATACAAGTTAAGAAAAAGGGATCCTGATTCTGGGAGTTTTGTCATTAACTTCAGGCAAGTCAATATTTCACCCAGAGTCTTTAATCCATCAAAGAAGAAATCTGCCTTGCAATCAGTGTTTCTCAGCACTGTTTACTCCAGACTAGGGATGATGTAGCTGAATGAATTTTAGAGTCCAAATTAGGAAAGGCAGGTTGACTCTTTGTCGACAAAACTTCCGTCGACAAAGAGCGTCCAGACACATTGAGTTCTGTCGACAAAGCAAGCTGCTTTGTCGACAGAACTCCGTAGTCTGGATGCAACGTTACAGGCAATAACACCTTCTGTCGACAGAGTTCTGTCAACAGAAGGTGTTATGCCTCGTAAAATGAGGTATACCAGCGTCGACAAAACTGCTGAGTTCTGTCGACGTTATGTCGACAGAACTCAGCGGTAGTGTAGATGCTGGTATAGTTTTGTCGACAAAAGTCCACTTTTGTCGACAAAACTAGGTAGTCTAGACACACCCTTTGAGAGATAAGCAAGGCAGGAAACAGAAGGCCCCATGGTAGCTGGGAATGGTTATCAGTAGCAATAGCCATGTAGCTTCATGCCTACCCTTTGTTGGCTGGGCTCAGATAACACCTCTTGAACCTACCTAGCAGCAGCCCAATGTGAAATACCAATAACATTACCTCAATACATAGGAATACTCTGACCAATTTCTTTTGTGGTGGATCCCAAATACAAGCATTAGAAATACTGTGTGAAAACGGTTACAACAGTCACTAAGCAAAGTGATAAAAAAATTAGGCGATTCACAATTATGTCCCAATGCAGTGAACAGCAATCAACCAACTATAGCTTTTAGCAGGGGTGGGCAAAAGGGCCTCTCTGGGCCACATCCAGCCCACCAAGTGGGTTGAGCCAGTCTGCGGAAGCCCTGACTCTCCCCCATGCCCGTGCACAAAGTTTCCTCTGCCCTGCCAGGAGCATGTGGCGCTTAGAAGCACCACATGCTCCTGGAAGGGCTGGAGAAGACTTCGTGCACTCCCCCGCCCCAAAGCCCTGATTGGTCTGGGAGTAGAAGGGGGAGTGCGCAGTTTCCTCCCACTGCCAGGGGCATGGGCGCCAAGGGGGAACGTTTGGGAGGGAAGGGATAAAGACTTTATGCACTCCCCCACCCTCAGAGCAATCGTGGTCTGTGGGTGGGAAAGCAGGGAAGTATCCTGGCCCCGCCCCTTCTGCTTGAGGCCCCGCCCCTCTGGTGCAGCCCGGAGCCACTTAAAAATTTCTGAAGTGGCCGCCAGCAAAAAATTATTGCCCACCTTTGGCTTATAGTGAGAAAGTGAAGGTTGCAAACTTAAAAACAATCCATCCAGAAAAAAGGACTGTTATGACCACCGCAAATGACATTTAAATATAATTCTCAATCACAAGGATTAATTAAGAATGGGTAATTATAATGCCACTAAGAAGACAGGATCAGGCTTCACTGTAGACCCAGTGTTAGATGAATGCATTCCCAAATGAAGTTCTGGAATCATTTGCCCCAGTTCCCTGAATCTTGGGAAACTCAGGATTCTAGATTTGAAGGGCTTTCTTAATATGGGGTGCTGTGCTAGGAAGACCTAGTGATGAATCCATTAGGGGGTGGTTTGTAGGCAGAGGGTCTTTGAAAGATTCAGGAAGAGAAAGAAAAGACAAATGTGGTCTGTGGCTATTTATCTATGACACTCATCACAGGTTGCTCTGATGAGGCTTCTCTACTCACCACCTCCTCCCATTTGCTATGATAAGAAACAATCCCTCCAGTGGACAAAAGGCCTCAAACTCCAGACAGCCCTCTGTCTTTAATTCTTCTTGCCTTCAACCCCTGACTCTCAAAATGATATCTCTATGTAGATAATCATGGCCTCGCTGGTAT